ATACGCATTTTCAAAATTATATAATAAATGATCCGTGGAGTATTTTGAACTGAAACTTCACAGACACCTTCTGGGGACACCAGAGACTTATATTACATATTGTAAAAAGGGGCATAATATGTCACCTTTAAGTTCTTGGTGTGAACGGGCCTTAACTGTGAGAAGACATCCAATATAATTGAAGGGTTTTGTATCCTTTTTTGTATTTTGTATCCCACATACACATTTTCTTGGGAAGAACAACTTGCTGAAACCAGAAAACGCCCACCATGTCTCGCAGTTTTAGTTGTTTTTAAACACCGATGTCCATTTTAGGAGATATTGCACAAGTATTCCTGGCATTAACCATTGGTTAAACTGTGGCGTTCTGCAGCGCATCTAAGAGGTTATTATTAGAAAGAGCCTCAAGTTGCTGATATTTCTGGACTAACAAAAGCAAGCCATCGGTCTTCTCATGCATATTAATGAGATTAATGAATGAGATGTGGGATGTCTTTGAGAATACAATTTTACTTTGAAGCCTCTACCATGCCCTTTAAGATGCTCATGCGTGTCAAGCTGCGATTCAACATAAGGATCCGATTGTTCGAATCAATTTTAATATGCATCAGTTCAAAATGTTGATCAAAACGGCTTCGGAGAGCTTGCATTTCAGCTGCACTTGAATCAGTGGATCCTCGTGGAATTATTGAGCAGCAAGAAACCAGCGTTTTTCAGATGATCAGCGTTATATAATAGAAGTGTCATTTCACATTTCTGTATATCAGGGAAAGCATATTGTGAGCGTCTGGCGATCGTGTTACACAGGCTGTGCTCGAGTTCCCATTCCTGTCTGCTGAAGCAGTTACCATGGGAACTCCTAGTATTGGGGGAGCATTGAAGTGTTGTTTTGAAGTATTTGAAATGCAGGTCTTGCACAGTTTAGCATTTAGTTCCTGTTAATCTTTGGGCGTTAAAACTTGTGTTTTACAAGCTATTTATTGCATTCAATCCTTTATTCTGCTTGAATACTTTATAATTGAATAGCCTACTTGTTTTATTTTTTTATTAACTCATTCATTTAATTTGTTAGTTATATGTAGCCTATAATTTATTTAGATTTATAGATTTATTTCTTTATTATTTAGTTTAAAGTTGAGAGGCCATCAATAAGGCTGTTTTAACTTGATGATGAGATTATACATCACGTTTTTACAGTAATGTATATCATGTTTTATTTGTGTTTCCTGTAACAACAGTCATAGATCTTTACTTCTCTTTATTAATATTCATTTTAAATTGTAAACTTTTTAAAGGAATTTATTTAGGCTTATATGTTATAATGACCTAGAGTCTAGATCAAACATTTGATATAAATTCAGTTTGAGAGAACAAATCTTTCTACAAAGTTTCCTCAAATCTGTGCGTAACTGTAATGGACCTACCTGAGAAAAGAGTGACATCTGGTGGAATTGTGCCGTTAAAAAAAACTCCAGCTGACTATTTAACATATTTAAGAAATTGTCAGCTGACTTTTAGAATATATTATATCAGATCAATAAATTCACACAAAACAGCATTAGCTGAAAAATATTTTATATTTATAAAAACATAGAGAACTTGTGCCTTTTGTGTTGACAAAATATATTTCACAGTATTAAAACATTTAACATTAACAATTAACATACACCTGTGGAACCTTAGCCTATATAACAATTCTTAAAATATTAAAATGTTAATTTATTTAATCTATTCATGACATTGATGCAAAAATACACAGGAAATTATTAATGGGTATTTCTGAAATTGTTAAAAATAAATGGATATTTTTAAAAGGTTATTCAAATAAATAAATAAATAACAATATTACATTACATTACAACTGTGCATCTATATGCAATGAAAAATGATACTGTTAAAAGGATATTTTTAATAATCATAACTAAAAAAAGTTTTTTTTTAGAAATACTCAGACTTAACGACTAATAAAATAATAGTTTATAAATTCAGTAATTATATAATTACTCTTTTATAAAAAATATTGCTAACATTTATAAATAAAAAGATTTTTCTAAAAAAAAAAATCAGCTTTACTTATTTAGAAAAAAAAAAAATTCATAAATGTCTACAGCCATATAATTATTCTTATAAAATATGAAATTTTTTTATTTATTTTATTTTCTATTTTAAATTATTATAATTAATTTATATATGACATTAATACAAAAATACAACAATATAATATAATATTATGACTAATAATAATAATAATAATAATATTTTTTCCTGAAATGGTTAACATTTTTGGATAGATTTACATTTATTCAAACAAACAAATGAAGACATTAAATAAATTAATTTGCAAGTGTGTGTGAAAATGCCATGAAGGAATAATTAATTATATTATTAGACTATAAGAAAGATATTTCGGTCATAAATTTAACCTTGCACGAATGAACGAAAAACAAATGAATGAATGAATGGATGAATGAGTGCATGAATTAATGATTCACTTCTAAATAAAATAAAATGTATGAATAATTCTACCACGGATGAAAGAATGAGGTTTCTGTTGGTTTTGTTTAATCCTACACTGGGTCAGTGACACGACGCACGCGACGTAAGGACTCTTCGCTGTCTCGCGTCCAGACGCTCGTGAAGCCGCAGTGCCGCTCAACGGCTAACGTTACCGGAGACGCTTGGCGGAAAAATGCTCCCGCTATCCATCAAAGATGATGAGTACAAACCTGCCAAATTCAACCTGTTCGTCAAGATATCGGGCTGGTTCAGGTAAAGACAGCAAAATGCTAAATATTTCATTGAGTTTCACTCACAGCTGTCGGCTGTGTGGCCAAGGCAGTTAGCATGCTAGTTAGCTCGCGAGACTTTATTAGAAATTAAAACGGCGTCTTTTAAATATCATTTGAACTTTTCTTTTTTTTTTAACGCAACTATTGTATGCTAAAAAATTAATTTAACAGTTACAACAAAGAAGCAGACCGCTTCAGCTAATTTTTCAGCCGGACAGATGTTAGCAGGACGAAGTAAACGTTTGACACAACCTATATTATCTTTCATTTTACTTCATAAAATGTGTTAAAACATATTCCGCAACAAAATGCTGCTATCAAGAGATTATTTGGTCCACATGTCATTTTTTCTAAACCATTTTATTTCAATAAACTACAGTAGTGTATTTGCTTAGCTGTGGGTTCCTAGTACAGCCAGTCTGTCTGGTCAGGCCACTTTATAAATGAATCGGTCTGAAACCACTTAATTCTTTTGTCTTTGTGTCCTTCCCCAGATCAATTCTTGCTGATAAAACCTCTCGCAATCTGTTTTTCTTCCTGTGTTTGAACCTGTCCTTCGCGTTCGTGGAGCTGCTGTATGGCATATGGAGTAACAGGTAACAGTAGGGGGCCAAACACAAGAATATGCCACGTAGGTCTAAATGTGGGATGAGCTAGTGTGCTTTTGTTTTGGGGCCCCAGCTTCTGTTTGCAATGTTTTGATTGGGGTTTCTCCCATGAGCTGTTATCATAGTCGTCCTTGAAATGAGATTGACGGCTGATCAAAGTTCAGCAAATACAGGAGGATGTGTCTCGAAACCTATTGAGGTGCCTATCTATTCTAGACTATATGTTTCAGGTGTGTTTGAACGTTCAAATACACATCTGATGCCTGAAAATGCATTTTAGATAGCAGATCTTGCTTGGTTTTTAGAAACAGCTGGAATATTTTATATATAACTCTTGTGGGGAAAATCCCGTGGATAAAAGGAAGTGACGTTAACCATTTGTATGCCATTGTATATTAACAACTATATGTCTTTCCATTCGTACATCGTGCATACACTTTAACTGAGAGTGTAACATTGTTGGTTTAGGCTTAATAAAAAGATTTATATCTGTATATCTGATTTTTTGTTATCAGGTCGCACACACTTACAGTAGTTTGCAGTGACAGAGTGACCAGAAGTTATGTATTTTTAGTTGATGTGATTTTAGGTGACATTGTAGTTAGAGGTACAACCGAATTGAGCATTTCAACATTATGCAAATGACACAATCCCACAATTTTCTTTTGTTGTTGTTTATTATAATAATTTATTTAATGTGCTATCTTTCATTTGATAATATTATGCTAAAAATTGACACAATCTCATGAATTGGAGTGCAGTCAGTGAAGGTTTTATTATTATCATTATTATTATTATTATTATTATTAAAAATCAATAATAATACCAGTAGTAATGATATAGTGGTAATATATAATAGTATACATTTTCATTTTTATTTATTTATTTTTGTTGGTGTCGGTGTTTATAATACTTTATTTAAAACAATGATAATGTTATGCAGTTGATAATACTATGCAAATTGCACAATCCCTCAATTTTTTGGTATTGTTGTTATTGTTTATTATAATAATTATTTTTATTATTATTATAATCAATAATAGTATCAGTAATATAAGTGTACATTTTTATTTATTTATTACATTTGTTGTTGTGTATAATACATTATTTAAACAATGGTAATATTATGCAGTTGATTATTAATTGAATATTATGCTAATTGTACAATCCAACAATGATGATTATTTTTATTAATAATTTACTTTACTAATTATAATAATTATTAATTAAATTAAAATGCTTTATGTACAACTTATCTGTTTAAATCACTATTAAATATAAATGTATTAGTAAGAGTGTAATTGAGTTATTACATGCTTGTTTTTTATTTATTATTAAATGTTTAAAATGTATTTATTTATATATTCATTTATTTATTCGAAACTAACTTGACAACCAAATCTCTGTCAGCATGAATGAACCTTTTGGACTGTTTTATTTTTGTCTCTAAGTGAAAAAGTGAATGTCTAACAAAAGACACTACACAATGTGACTCTGACCTCAATATGGGGGAGGATGTGTTTCTCAGGTTTCGTGATAATTCAACACTTCCCTTTTTGTGTTGGTTTGATTCTCAGTTTAGGGTTGATATCCGATTCCTTTCACATGTTCTTTGACTGCACCGCTCTCCTGGCAGGCCTTGCAGCATCGGTCATTTCGCGGTGGAGGTCCAATGACTCCTTCTCATACGGGTGAGAGAACATTTCAGTCGAACTTATTTTAAAAAGAGCTTTTGTGGGTAGAGTACCAATGACACAAGTTTCCTAAAAATGATGCATTCACTTCTGCCTGAGTAGTGTTGACAGGAAACTGCGTCTTTGCTTTCATCACTGGGTTGTTATGCAAGTCCATTTGATTATTTTGTAGGTATGTCAGAGCAGAAGTGCTCGCAGGATTCGTGAATGGCCTTTTCCTCATCTTTACCGCCTTCTTTATCTTCTCAGAAGGAGTAGAGGTGTGTACTAGAAGAAGATTACAGTTGATTTACTTGCCAAATGACATACTAATGCACTAATATGTTTTTGTTGAATGATGGCATCTCGTCTTGTCACCAGAGGGCGCTGGAACCCCCTGATGTGCACCATGAGCGTTTGCTCCCGGTGTCTATAGCAGGGCTGCTGGTGAATCTTGTAGGAATATTCATTTTTCAACACGGAGGACATGGACATTCACATGGTGGTGAAGGTAATTATCTCACATAGAATAAGCATTCCATCACGTTTTTAATTAAAAACATTCCCCCTCAAGTTTCAATAATATTCTGGTTTATGGGATTTTTTAATGCTGTTTTCATACCCAGCAGGTAAAAAATCTCCCCCCAAAAAAACCTTTTAACTATCATAAAAATTACAGTGTATATATGTGTATTTTTAATGTTTCTCAAAGAAGTCTTCAATGTTTCAGAAATATTACAAAATCCTAGTTATTTTGAACTTTTGATCAGTAGTGTATATATAATGAAGATAAATAGAAATATAGATAGATACTTTAAAAAAAAAAAACTTCAATGTAAAGATATATAAACCTAAAAATATAAATTATATTTAAAAAAAAGTGTATTTATATATAAATGTCTTTTTAATATAAAAAACATGCATAGTTTCTTTATAGATATGTCCTCTTATTTTTAAGGTCATGGCCACAGTCATTCTCTATTTAATGGCAGTGTGGGACATGGACACAGTCATGGAGGCCACAGTCACGAGTCCAAACACGGACACGACGATCACGGGCATTTACACGGAGGACACGGACATTCACATGGAGGACACGGGCATTCACATGATGATCCTCACTGCCATGGTAAAACCTCAAGCTACCTTATTGTTTTGAGTGTAGTTTCTGTTATGACTCCGTACCATTATAATGCATCAGATGTGTTATTTGGTCCTCATGATGTGTGAAAATTGCAGAAGCTTTTTTGATCGTAATGGTGTCTGGTATAGCGTGATTCATTTCTAATCTGTCCGTGTCCTCAGATGACCATTCGCACACACCGGGAAAAGGCTCCAGCAAGCAGATATTACAAGGTATGTCTGTTTTCTATGTTTGTTCTCCTCCAGATGGCGCTAGAAGTCTCTTTGTCGCAATATTTGCCTTGCTTTTGAACAGGCACCAGATATGAAAATATTTACAATAACATCTATCAGGTCTAGACAGGTTTTTCCTCTTTTGTAGGTGGACAATATTATGAATTCTTAATAGATGAGGTCCTATAATCATAACTCCTAAAATAATATCAGAAGTATTTTCTTCGTTAACCACTTGAAATGAATGATCGGACATGACTGGATGATGGACTTTTATGTGCAACCAAGTGGCACCTCTGACCATCCCAACCTCTAACCTTTGACTGGGGGGGGTAACACTGACACTGGAGCAAACGTGGTACACTGTCGCTTTAAATCCCTTTGTCCGAGCTTGTGTGGGAAAGAGCAGAGCAGAGAAAGTAGTTTGTCCCCTTCACCCTGGCACACACAGAGAGAGAATGGATCCTTTGGGAGGCCTGCTCAAGGGAGAAAGAATGGGGCACTGAGGGAGGAGCATGTAGAGAGGGGGAGGAGAGGAGAGGAGAGGAGGTGACAGTGCAAAAGGTTACGCTGCCTCCCCAGCCGAGGGACCTCTTCTGCACTCCCCGTGGTGAATTGCAAGTGGATTTTACCAGCCTCCTGTCTATTTTGGCTATGTTTATTAAGCTTACTTTTTACAAAGAATACTTGGTAGATGTACTCTGTTTGACAAAACGGCACTATGCAATATAATGCACTGCACAGACTGCTGTATTCCAGAATGCAATGCACTTGACTTTCCTTTTGCGGTGTGATAAATTATCCATAATTTGTCTAAAAATGTGTTTATATACCAATGGTTAAGACATTAAAAACATTTTTATTGCCATTTATTAAAATAGTGATAATTTATTATAATTTTACAAAAAAAATATACTGGAATATTATTATAATAAGACAACATTTTATTTATTGATGTTATTTTTGCTCATTATTATTATTATTATTATTATTTTTTTAATTATTATTTTGATAATATTTTGTATTATCCCCGTGGTGAATTGCAAGTGGATTTTACCAGCCTCCTGTCTATTTTGGCTATGTTTATTAAGCTTACTTTTTACAAAGAATACTTGGTAGATGTACTCTGTTTGACAAAACGGCACTATGCAATATAATGCACTGCACAGACTGCTGTATTCCAGAATGCAATGCACTTGACTTTCCTTTTGCGGTGTGATAAATTATCCATAATTTGTCTAAAAATGTGTTTATATACCAATGGTTAAGACATTAAAAACATTTTTATTGCCATTTATTAAAATAGTGATAATTTATTATAATTTTACAAAAAAAATATACTGGAATATTATTATAATAAGACAACATTTTATTTATTGATGTTATTTTTGCTCATTATTATTATTATTTATTTATTTTTTTTAATTATTATTTTGATAATATTTTGTATTATTAATAGTAATATTTTGGAAAAAAGCTATTATCATAGCTATTATTTAATTACTATTATTGGAATACTAATAAAATTAGTGATTAATATTATTTTATAAAACAAATTTTACTTTTACAAACAATATAATGGGATATTTTATTATTGTTATTATTAGTGCTGTCAAATGATTAATCGCATCCTAAATAAAAGTTTTTGTTTACATAATATATGTATGTGTACTGTGTATATTTATTATGTATATATAAATACACACATACAGTATATATTTTGAAAATATTTACATGTATTTACATTTATATATTTATATTATATTTTATATTATATATAAATATATTTAATATATAAACATAACATATTTTTCTTAAATGTGTACATGCATGTGTTTGTATTTGTATATACATAATATATGTGTGTGTGCTGTGTATATTTATTATGTAAACAAAAACTTTTATTTTGGATGTGATTAATCGTGATTAATCGCTTGACAGCACTAGTTATTATTAAATGAGAATAATAATATTATTCATATATTGCTATTTTGCAAACGATAAATATTTTCATTAATCATAATCATTGTTATTATTATTATTTATTACTATTTTATAAAAACAGATTATTAGATTATTTGTGGAAAAGTGATACAAAAATAGATTAATTAATTATTATTAGTAGTAATATTAATGAAAGGCAGATATTTTTAATAAAACATTTTCATATTTATCATTTTAATATTTTCTAATCATTATTATTTTACAAAAACAGATGAATAGTATAATTATTAGTAGTAATGAAAGGAATGAATTTTATGAATTTTTATATCTATAATTTTAATCATTTAGAATCATTTAGAATCATTATTATTAATATTGTTGTTTTACAAAAACAGATTATTAGTAGATTCTTTGTGGAAAATGATACAAAAATAGATTAATAATAGATTTATTGGTAGTAGTATTAATGAAAGGAAGATATTTTTTTATAAAATATAAATATTTTCATAGTTATCATTTTAATATTTTATATTGTAATTTATTATTATTAGAATTATTATTATGCAAAAATATATATTTTAGTTTAATTCTTTTGCTGATACACTTTACATTGTTGTTTTGTCTTGATTGTAGGCAGTTTGTACAGCATAGTAAGCTATCAGTACTCTTAGTAGTAAGCTAGTGTCACTATTAGAATTTTATTCTAAACACAGCCACTGTTTCTAAGGACACAAAGAGCTCCAGCATTCTTGTTATTTTTCTAGTATTTGTTTTGACCACATTTGGACTGGGTCTTCACTTATTAGGGAGTTTGCTCTGTTACTGCGGTCATGCTTTCTGTAAAACTGAAAGTAACCGCAAGTATGTCATCTCATTCTGAGGGAAGGAAAGGACTTAGTGGACCGGCTCATAGCGCAGTCCACAGCTATTCTCCAGTACAGATTTCTGAGTTCAGGAAATGTTGACCGACTCACTCATGTTGGTTTTAACATAGTAGCGTATGATATATTCTGGACATTCAGTCCGACAGGACAGTCATGCAGGTTGACCATTCATTCGAGGATGCACTCGTATGACCTGTTTGTGGAATGACCTCATCAGTTTGAGGGTTACCGCTAGAGACGGTATCCAAGACAGCGGGTTCGTTCCGTCCGCAGTAGTCGTGTTTAAACATGAGTGCTAGCAAATGTTGTATCCTCATCCCAGACACAATATTAACTCAATCTTAGAGGTTTTTATGTGAAACCAGGACCTTTAAGCCTTAGTGCCTAATTTGCTGTAAACTACCTACAGAAACTGTTGAAAAACTGTACTTCACAAGTGACCAATTTGGAAAAACTCTAGTCATTAACTTATGCAAATGGTTTTTAAAAATTTTTTTTACACAAATGATTCTAGTAGATTCGAGTTGAGATTAAGTTGCTAAGCTAAAAGCCCACACAAATATTTGGTAAAATTAAATTGAAATATAAAAAATAAATAATATAACATTCTATAAATATGAATGTTTTTGTGTATATTAATATTGAGATATATATGCTCAATATAGATATACATAAAATTAACATTAAAACAAACCTAAATATTTATAAAAATGTATAGTTATTTTAAAGTTCATAAATAATGTATTAGTTTTAATATTACGTATATAAATATTGAGATATAGTAAAAATTTTTTTTAAATATTATTGAATATATTTTTATATTTATATGCACTACTGCTCAAAAATTTCATGTCAGTAGATTTGTTTTTAAAAATAAATTAATATTTTTATTTAGCAACGATGCATTAAATTGATCAGAAGTGACAAATGTTTTGTAACATTATAAAAGATATAACAATATACATAAATTGAAAGAAATGCTGTTGTGAAATGAGTTTTCACAAAAAAAATATTTATTAATATTAATAAGAACTTTTTCTTGAGGACCAAATCAGTATATTAAAATGGATTATGTGACACTGACGACTGGAGTAATGATGCTGAAAATTCCGCTTTGCATCACAGGAATAAATTACAGTTTAAAATATATTCAAATAGAAATATATTACTGTATTTTATACGTACTTGAAAAAAACTTAAAAATCCAACCCCAAACATTTTTGAACAGTAGTGTGTATTTTTATTTTTAGATTTGTTTTAGAACAATAAATCTAAACCCTCATTTTCTTCATTTCAGGAGTTTTTCTCCACATTGTTGCGGACACGTTGGGCAGTGTCGGTGTCATTATATCAGCCATCATAATGCAAAAATACGACCTGATGATCGCCGACCCCATCTGCTCCATGCTCATCGCGCTTCTCATAGGAGTGAGGTGAGTACGCTATTATAAGCCCTGACCTCTCTCGACTCGACTCAAGACAATCCTCCACCCTCAAACCCCACCCAGAAACCCTCAACAGCACCTGACACAGATCATACAAAAGCCACTTCACAGTGCCCTTCACCAAGAGCCATGTGAAACCGTTGGCGCTCCAGCCGGGTGAATTACAGGATACACGCTCCGAGGGTGGAGGCCAGAGCACTTTCTCAACATGTGGCGAAGCCAGAAAACCCAGGATTTGACTCTCTCATGTGGCATTTTTCAAACAACTTCAGTCAAGAAGGAAAAATGCATAGTATTTAATCACTTTTTAAACCTACCAAACCTATCCATAGTCTTGAAAATGCCATCAGATGCTTTTATGGTGATGAATATGCTTTGTTTTGTGTGTGATGTTGGTAAATGTATGTAAAGGCTGTGTAAATTTGAAGAGGACTGCACCATGTTTAAATTGCAGATGGCTTGTGGTTACTGTGCTCCAGTGAAGAGGCACCGTTCCGTGGCCCCTTTTTGCAAAATGCACGAGTTTGAGCAAAGCCTTTCTCGCATATTCATCTCGTCCCTTCAGCCCCCCCTCCCCCCTCCCTCTTGTCCGTGTTTGAGGCTTTTCTTCTCCCTCTCTGGAATGTGGTGGCGATCTGTGAATGTTACTTCAACAAAGGCATCTTTTAAGATGGATTTTTCCCTTCTCTTTGTTTCTCAAAAAGGGGGGGGTTTATGTCATCGAGACCCCGTTTTGGACATTTTTTCCCCTCTTCTTCAGTTTTCCATGCAGTGGCCGAATGGTAAATCCTGAGAATCGAGAGTAGGGCTAAGATTGTGGACGTTTTCCCACATTGCACCTGCATGACAGCGTCTCGGTCTCATTCAAGTGCAGTCTGGAGGCAGATCTTTTATGGCGCATGTACAAAGGTATCACACTAGTATGGAAAGCCATTAAATTCCAAAGCAGATAATTAAAAACAGTTGCAAACCAGAAATGAGCTTGTTAAAGATCTCGTGAAGCTTAAGACTTCTCGTTCCTGTGGTCCATCTGTAGATGTTTTGTCTTTTGACATTGAGTGTCCTCCTTTGTCCTCGAGTCAGGATTCGAACTCGGGATGCTCGTAGCACAATGGTGCTATATGTTGGCGCGCTGCCCACAAGGCTGTTGGTCCTGTCATTTTTTTTATAGGAATTTTTAACATATTCAAATCTAAAATCAGCAAGCTTTTATTTTGAAAGTAAGTATATGCACTGCCGGTTTTAGCACTGCCGAGTGAAGCGCGTCAATATATGAAATGTCACCGTTTTGCTCTGAAACCAGCAGTGCATGGCCTAGAAATGTGTTCAGTTTAAATGGAAATCTTATACAGTATTACAGTTAGTCGTCTAAAACGGTGATTGAGCATTAACAGCGGTCAACCATGTTGGTGCGCAAACTTATTTACCCAGTAAATTTTTTTTTCTCCCGCATGCGCACCTGCACACCACTTTTGTAATATAAACTTTTGTAACATTATAAATGTCTTAAAATAGTATGATTTTTTACATTTTATTTTGTGTTCCACTCAGTACCATGCAGTACATTGTGGGATTTTGCCAAATGTACTATGTCAAGGGTACTTGAAGGGTTCAAAATTTGCATAGTAAGTACAGCATATCTACTATATACTGCATAAATAGTAGTATGCTAGTATGCTATTCCAAACATCGCCCAAGAAAAGTGATGTGTTCTCAAGAACTAGGCTTAATGTGTTTGGGGAAACACGGCTGTTATGGATATAGATTTATTAAACGCATGATATGCTAGTGTGAAAGATGGTACTGTGGACCAAAGCATGAGTTCATCTGCAACTCTAGACTCTCTTACGCATTTGGGCTTCATGCCTGTGTACGTCTGGCGCAGCAGAATCATTTATCGTTCAAGTCTTGAGAGAGATAGACCATAATTAGCCGCGTGGAATGTCTGTGGTTCTTCGTTTGATCGTTAAGATGGACTCTGCTTTGTTTGGACAGCATTTTTCCCATGTACCCCTCATTGTGAGATTGATATTCTCAGGAGAGCGCCTTGTTTTGATCCAGCCATCTTGCTCACATTTGGATGTTTGACCTTTCGCAAGGATGATGGACTTATCCTTCATCAGCCGCACCTGAGGCGTGACACATTTGCACGGGACTCTCGGCAAAAGACCCCCCGTTGCACGCCAACCGTTTAGCTAAGGCCGCTCTGGGTGTGGTAGGCTTGCTTCAGGGGGGATATCTGGGTACGGCTGCAGCGGCTAGATCTCTCCCGGTACCCTGTGATTAGTTGGAGGGAGTGGAGGAGTCCTGCTGCTGTGACCTACAGCAGTCCCCCACCACCAAAGTCTTCCTAAGACTGCTAATCGCTTTGGGTCCCAGCCTAAAGCCCAAGGAATGGGTGCATAAAGAACGTTAACAGTAATTAGCATTTGTTCTGGCCGTACTAAGCTGGGCCTTTGTGGATGGATTCATTTGTCAGGCCTCAGTGCAAATGTTTAAATGGCTCTCCAAAGCTGCATTTGTCGCATGTTATTGTGTTATTCTTTGATCTACTGTATTTTTTGCACATAATGCGCTTTAGCACTGTGCCGGCTGCTAGCTGCTTAACAATGTATGTTTTTTTTAGAATGCTAATTTACGACTTATTGGTGCAGGTGGGGAATGAGCCACATATAACATGCAACATATAACAACATGCAATTTATTTAACGCTCAGCTCTGTGTATATATAAGTAATCGATGTTAACTGAGGGCTGTATCATTCAGTCTGGAGAGTTTCCGATTTCCATCGGGTTTCACTCCATTTTCACTAATTGCAGGTTATTGTTTGAGCTACTTGAATTGATTTCATTTTAATTTCATATTAACTGGGTTTGGAAATGTAGTTTTCAAGGTTCTAGCTCATTTATGTCCAAGCCTTTTCAATTTTTAAGCTTGTCTCCTTTTTAAGTCTATATGCCGAATCTCTCAAAAGTGATTTCACCCTAAAATCAGAAGAGGGGAAAAAAATAAAATAAATAAATATATATAATTTTTTAAATAATTAATATCTTATTTTTATTTATGTTAAAAGTTTTATTTATTTTAAGTTATGTTGAAAAATTAGCTTAATATTTTATAAAAATAATGTAACTTCATTTTTATTTTATTTTTTTATATTCTTTTGATTTTTGAGGTGAAATGTGACCCAGACATGTCTCATGAGATTTCAGTTTTACACAAATGGTCTTCTACATTCAGACTGGACCTTTTGTGACCAACAGCTATGTGGGAAGAAAGTTTTAGTATTAGTGATTGTTTGTAGAGCTGTTCAGAAGATGTTTGAACGTTTGCAGACTCTCAAACTATAAAAATGAGCTTTTGAATCCAAGCAAAAGTTTTACGGACAAGGCCTAATAGCTATACAATCCTGTGGTTATGGCCATAGCTTGAGTGCAGTTGGTTCCTAGCAGGAAAGCATCGAAAGTTTTTTTTTGTGGTGGAATCCCAGTAACTGCTTGCCCTAGAAATGGAAAAGTTTGTTAGGTCCTATTGCATATAAATCTCAAGTTAAATGTACCTGTTCTAATTCCCACTGCTGTTCAGATGCAGACCTCACTACAGTCACCTCATTCTTGTGGTGGTTCTGGTGTCATAAATATTTCTGTGCTCCAGTTAGGTACTCAGGTTGTCTGGGCGTGATAACTAATCATTTCCATGTGGTTTAGAAGTGTGCTTTTACGAGTGACTGCTTTATGCCGCGTGACTCCAAGATGTTTTCCTGGTTTCCAAAAGAGTCCATAGGTGATTACTAGCGTCCTTGCAGAAATATTTTATCCTGATTGTCACCCTGACCTGGGTGGTGACATTTCGTCTATGTCACTGGCCAGCCTAACCTTGATGCTCGCGCGTAATTGTATTTCAGCCAGCTGAGTCACTCATGTAACTGCATTACAGATTTTTCAGGGCAGGTTAGCCATCAAGCGCCAGCGAACGGTGAGTAAGAGTGCCTCTGTTTCACTGAACAGGAAGGTGTGCAACAATAGTATGATGTCAGAGGTCTGAGGTACCCTCATCCAGTACTTTCCTGTTTTCATTTTATTGTCCAAAAGAGGGACAAACACACTGGTTACTGAGAGGAATGCACAGTGGCCAGTTTTATGATGCCCTGTCACAGTATATGTTGAAGGAAACATATGGTAATTATAGAAAAACCTTCAGAAAATTGACAAGTTCTGTGGTGTGACATGCTACACTTAAAATAGTGTTAAATTAAGTGTAGCATGTCACACAACAGAATTGTGCAAAAAGGTTAAAAATATTGACCAGCCCAAATTTCAGACATCCAATTGCATTCAGACAATAACTTTGCAGAATTACCACTTGCTTTTTAAACTTACCTGGCTTTTTCTGCACTTTCAGAATGGATCTGTTTTGTCAGTCTGCCAGTAGACTTGATACATTTCACTTTCCAGGTGTACTAAAGCTAATAGATCCAAAAAGGGATGAGACCGACCAATCAGGCTCCAGTTTCATGTTCCTATATGGCTTTAGTATAGCTTACAAGCTTGTTCGCTTGCAAACATTGCTTGGTAAACCACAGTCATCTTGAGGGAGGTATTGAACAGAAATGCTTGCATGCGTTGCACTTTAAACACATCAACTAATGTTACTTGACCACAAAGAGGGCTGAGTAGTCAGTATCACTGTATATTGGTCTGGAGCATAGTGCTTATATTGATATTACTCGTGTATGCTCTCAATATAGGGTAGTGAAAGTCTGCAAAACCTCATGGGTCAAGACACAACTATTGTGAAATCGAAGCCTTGTGAGTAACATGATTGCAGTTTTTTACATTTTATCAAAACAAAGTTGGGGCAAAATATTTTGAAGGCACGTTGCAGTTTTTCAACAATGTGTGCCAAGGAGTGTTTAGCAAGGTCAAATGTTGTGAAATGTGGCTTTTATGCCACAGTTTCATGAACGTCCAAATGAGACAACGATCAGCTTCTCCACTTTGGCGTGTCCCAAACTGAGGCTGGGGTTTCAGGGAGGAGTTCAGGAGAACATGGGGGTGATAGAGTAGATTAGGGACCGGGAAAAAAAGTCCAAACCAAGGAACCCTCTAATGGTTCCCAGATGGAGCAGTGGTCAGGCCTTGAATGTTTCAAGGAGGACTGATGACTTTGTAAGATGCTGGCCTAGCCAAGACCTAGCTTTGATGGGGCAGAAACGGCTGACTGGTTAGGAGAGAAATAGTCCTAGTCCTTTCTTAACCGGTCAACCGTTTCTGCCAAGTGATTCTTCAGTAGAATGAATGGGTAACTTTGGATGCCTATCCTGGTGTGCTCAGGGTTGCTTGCCGGCTCACACGCACTACAGCTGTTGGAATGATATCAGCAAAGCTCTCTGTTACTCCACCCCAACCATAAGATGGGCAAGTTTATGTTGGACCACACTGAGCATGCCCTGAAATAATCAGAATGAAAAGAGTTCTTGTTTGTCATGATAATGACAGAATTTCCTCTCCTCAGCTTATAACACAATGTGTCAAGCTGTTAGGTCACTAACCAATTCATATCCAATGACGTCTTTATGTGTGGCGTCCCTTCCTGTTGCCAGTTTGCCTAGTACTTGGCGCTCCATTGAGCTCATGTCTCACAGAACGGCAACTTATTTCTCGCCTCCCTCTTTCCCACAGTGTGGTTCCTCTGCTCAGGGAATCCATTGGGATCTTGATGCAACGGACGCCTCCTTCTCTGGACCATACCCTTCCTGAATGCTACCAGAGGGTGAGTCATTTCCATCTTCTGGATCCTATTTATGAAAGTTGGCTACTTGGTCAGACAGAGTTAACCTTGCATATCAACTGGAATTGAAGCCAAGGCACTGTTTACACCTGGTATTAAGATGCGTTTTCATCAATCCGATCACAAGTGGGCAATGCTAAACACTAGGGATGTGCATCTCCTTAACTGAGACTGATGTGATACGCATCTCAATGCATAGCCAACGATACGATACATTATAGATACATATGAAGTAGCTACCGATGCCATGCGATACGATTCACGTCTATTACGATGCAGTGCGATCCGATTTCGATTTGATTCAACACAATACGATTCAATGCATTACGATGCAATGGAAAAAAATATGATGCTATGCAATTCAGTATGGTACAGATAGTTCGCTTTTATTTCTTTGGTTCAGACAGCCAGCCATGTTAATCTATATTCTGTGTGAGACTCAGGACATGTCTCTGTCTCCGTAGTGTTGTGATATGTCATATTCATGTAGAAGCAGTAGAAACAGTTTAGAGAGGAGAAATCAATCTACATATGAAATATTGGTCACAAATTATTGGTCACTTTCTAAATAATAAAAGTATAGCACATCTACTAATAATAATATATAAATAAATCCGTTTTTACCAATGCAAATATGTTAGAAATGATGCATCGCGATGCAAATGCCAACTTGTATCCGATGCACATTTTTTTAGCAGTAAAATGTCAGAGCATATTACGGTTTATTTCCTTTAAAGTAATAGGTGGAAACAGTTCATCAAGGCTGATCCCGTCTAGACACACAGACCTTTACCAGTTTAAAATTGATCAAGATTTCCTCCAGTGATTTTCTCAATATAAATACATCTTTTACTTTGTGTTTTCAGCTGTACTTAAACCAAATTAAAATGAAATTAATTCTGCTCTGGAATGGGTTGAAGACAGGACATTTACAAGAAAGGACATTTAGCAAAACTATGGTTAATTTGTGGTTGCCACAGTTTAACTATAGTAGCCATGGTTTTTTGGTTTTATTTGTGGTAAAACCGTGGTTAATTTTCGTAAGGGTTATTTACAGATGGGTAGGGTAAAGACACTTTTAACACTGAAATTTCACTTCTCCTTTGTAAGAATAAACCACGTTACTTTGAGAAACACACAGGATAGTCTTGAGTGTTTTATCATAGAACTAGTTTCAACCTGTTACTTAGAATAATGCTAGGTGGAAAATATAAAAGTGTTCTGCAAAAAATATGACAAAGTAGGCCCACACTTATAGCACAAGCAAACATGCAAATATCTTAAAGGGGTCATGACATTTTTTTTAAAATTATTATTTTAATATATTCCTTGAGGTTCACTTATAATGTTAACATGTACAAGTTTTTTGAACAAAAAAAAAGTAAATATGTGGAAAAAATTATTTTCAACCCTCATTCTGACCCTGTCTAAAACAACCTGTTTTTAAGGGGCGGGTCCTTTAAGGCTTGTCAGTAATTGGCCACTGTTATGATTGGCTAACGTCACTGCATAGGAAACCGTATCAACACCACCTCACTATTGCATGTGAGTGTTTTGACATCATGATCAAAAATAAAATGGTCATTTCCAGACAAAGCAATATGAAATCATTTACTTACGGTTTGTGATACAGCTGCAGTCAGATCTAGTACCGCTTCATTTTTCAACAGATGTTTCTTTGTGAACTCTCCATGACACTGTGCCTCGTTTACAAAACAAAATGGTCCGACCAATCCTCAGACACAATCTGGGATGCCATTAAAAATAAACTATCCACTTGTTCCTTACGCTGGGAACCTTCTGATATCTGTACAAAGACGTGAACGAGCTGTTTAAACCAAACGCATCAAATCGAACGTTCTTTCACTCTATTTGTTCAATTGACGACAGACTCAAGCGCATGGACTGTGTCCGAAAGCGAACGTGCATCTGTATACTGTATCCAGTGTAGACAAGATAGCGGCAGTGATTGTAATTTCTATTTGCTTTTGATGCGAAGTGATGCATTACTCGCATTCATCATAATCAAGTGTCAGCTGTTAAGCGACTGAACAACAGTGGGCTGGGCCTACTGGATGATGAGAAGAAGACTATTCGTCAATGTCTTGGAGGCAGTCTTTATGCAAACTACTGAGCCCCTGTGACATCACCTGGCACCTCGGATCCAAACGAGTCGTTTTCTGAGGGTTATTTCATAAATGCTTTTTTATTGATGATGAGGACATTTTAAGTTATGAAACTTGCAGGATGTATTAAGCATACAAAGACCTCTTCTATGTCAAAAGATCAAGGGAAATTTGGTTTCTCATGTCATGACCCCTTTAAGAATATTCGGATGTTAGAAAATGTGTAATATTATAACAAAGTCTATTACATATAAACAAGGACTTAAGTAAGTTTTTTGTCAAAGGTGTGGCAAAAGATACATATCCTTCACTTGAACCAGTAAATGCTTAATGAAAGTTGGTGAATCTTGGGCTTTGTACTTCGACGGCAGTATAAACCAGATGCAGATCTGTAAACCCAATCATCTCTAAATGCAACACGTGAACTCAAATTTGTCTTTGTATAAATAAAGCAGACAGAGGCAAACTACTTTCTGACAATAGCTTTGTTCACTTTTTATGCAATTCATGCTGACAGAAATGAAATGAGAGACTACAAACAAAACCACAGATGTAGATGAAAACAGTCAAACCACATGTAGGGCGTTGATGTGATCAGTGGCACTGAAATGAGTGTCTTTATTGTACGAAAATCAATCTTCATCCATTATGACATGCTCAAAGGAATCTCAGTATTTGCTTTTATCTTATTTACATTCTTACTGAGAAAGTTCCATTAAGAAAGGCTCTTGGTACGGAAACATTATGCCAATTTCGAAGAAAGCTCAATTTCAGAGGCACTAATGCAACCCAGATGCAGTTGGTCCACAATAACCTTTTCCATTTCCTCTATTATAATTCCATCATTTACTTTTTTGACAGCAAGAACATGACTGCCACACGTCAAAATAATCATCCCACTCCCAATCTAAATCTTGTAATGAAATGCAACCCTTGCCTGACCGGTGCTTAAAGGTTAAAGTGGTCAAATTTGATCTGGAATAACAATCATGTCATTTGTGTGCTCTCCTGACCCTCCGGCAGCTCCAGGCTCATTTGTGTGCTCTCCTGACCCTCCGGCAGCTCCAGGCTCTCATGTGGACCGGCTTGTCCGCTTTTCCTTTTAAAAAAATCCCAGGAGCACTGGAAAGGGAACTTCTTTCTTGAGGAGCACAAGCTTCTTGGATATCAAGAAGCATATGTGGAACTATCGGTCATCTTCAAGGTCTTCAATCCCTCAGGACCACTGAAGAGTTTCAACATGTCCACCTCCAGAGGGTGAAGGTGTCCGCTGATGATCATTGAGTGAAGTGGTCCTCCCAGGTCACTGGATGCCAACTCTTGCAGTGTCCCAGAACGGATGGTCTGGTCCTCGGCTCCGACCCGAGCCAGACCAACACACACTGTGTCTTCAGTCATTGCTGCATTGAAGGAAAGAACATAGGATAAACCATGAAACCAAAGCTCACAAAGCTTTCAATCAAATCTAATCCAATTTTCCATCAGTGCTTGCCAGAGTTGGCCAGACGTCAAGATGGTTTAACCACAAACTTCACAAAGGTTTTCATGCAATTTAGAAAGGTTTGCAAGAGTTACCCAGTTCCTCGCCCCGATCCCGTCGGTTCTGTAGTATCTCCAGGAGTTGCTCAGCTGCCTGAGCGACAGTCATGTACCTGGGAGGCTCGTAAATCTTTCGACCCCTAGAAAGAGAGGGGACTGGTAAACTTTAAGGTGAGCAGAAGTATCTGGTGTCTTCAAATTTGTCTGGATCCTTGACAGTGTCAAAATTAGTTAATGCACTGGTAATCTTAAAGGATTAATTCATTCCTGACAATTTCCTGATAATTTACTCACCCCAATGTCATCCAAGATGTTCTTTCTTCAGTCAAAAAGAAATTAAGGTTTTTGAGGAAAACGTTCCAGGATTTATCTTCATATATTGGACTTCAATGGGGACCAATAGGTTGAAGGTCCAAACTGCAGTTTCAATGCAACTTCAAAGGCTCTACATGATCCCAGCTGAAGATTAAGGGTCTTATCTAGTGAAACGATCAGTCATTTTCTAAAAAAATACAAATGTATGTACTTTTTAACCACAATTGCTTGTCTTGCACTAGCTCTGCAATGCATTACATAATCACGCTGGAAAGGACACGTGTGGTTAGTTTTTCGTCTTTGTACTTCGGTTGAAAAGGTTAGTGTAGGTTGAAAAACTCCATATGATTTTCTCCTCCAACTTCAAAATCATCTGACATCGATTTACCTTTTTTGTAAAGGGTGTTTGACTTTCTTTGCACGTTCGCTTTGTAAACACATGGGTCGGTACTTCAGCCTACGTCACGCGTGACCTTTCCAGCGTGACTACGTAATGCATGAAGTCGTGGACGCAGAGCTAGTGCAAGACGAGCATTTGTGGTTAAAATGTATACAAA